GAAAATAATCAGTTATAAATGGTGGCATGGGACTTTCATCCCAGTGCTGGGAACATGGAAAAGGAAGATACTCAGGGCTTATTGACTAATCAGTCTATACTGGTTAGTGAGTTTCAGGAGATTGAGAACCCTTCCCTTTCTCATTCAAAAAAAGAGTTGGCTGTCCCTGAGGAATAACATTCTACCTTTTGTTCTTGCCTATGAATATGTGTATACATGCTATTATAAAGTTGCATACAAAACTCACAGGGCTAATATTATTTAACTTGGTCTTCAATCAAAGAGGAGAAAAAGACAAAATCTAGAGAAGGCCTACAAGTTAAAGAATTGGCTGTGGGGCCTAATGATCATGTCAAATCACTTATGTGTGGCTGTTTCCAGATAGCTAAATTCAAGGCAATGGATGAATGTAGGCTAACACAAAAGACACATCAAGGCCTTCTCTTCCATGTAGCTAACAATGCAGAAGAATCAAAACACAATGTACCTTTTCATTTATTCTAGATGAGGTCTATGGCCTCCCCAACCAGAGTTCCCATAAATAAATCTTCTGACATTGTGTTAGGGAGTATATAGGTTACAAGAAAGGATCAGTTGTGCAGCCTTGGGCAAGGACCACATATTGCTGTCCTTTAGTGAAAAGTGAGAGAATTACAGTACGCCCTTTCATGTGTTGATGTGTATGTTAAATTTGCTAACATGGCAAGTACATTTTACAGTTGACAGTGATTACCTTGAGTACCCGCTATCCTAGGTAGTTGAGTAAAACATCTAGTAACCTATTCAGATGAAGTTGGCATGTAAGCTAATACTAACCTGCTCATTTACACAGTGCAAGAATGAATTCTGTATAGTTTCTATACCTTTGACTGTAGCTGAATTGTAGTTTGGCACTGAACTGTATCGATTACCAAGTGCCTTTGAATAGTCCTGTTATTACAAACTTATCTACCTCCTTCACTTGGAGGAATTTAATGATCGTTCTAATATTTACTTGACTAAATGATTGACTCCTTTAAAACAAGAATTTTTGGAATAGAAACATAAATGACATTTTCTGGTGGACTTGAGTAAACTAGACATACAAATTACCAGGTAGTAGGCACTTATGAAATTTGTCATTATTTGTCTGTGCCTATTTTGGGATGAAATTTACTGGTGTGCAGTTATTTATTTCTGGTAACACTGCAGCTTAAAAAAAAGCTGTCACTAAGAGGTAAGTGTGTAAATGTATGAGAGCTTGTAGAAATTTCCATGTGCAATCAGCATATACAGACATGGATACACAGAGACATACAACAGACACACAGACACAAGGTATAAATACTCGGGACAGTATCCATTGCCTTAACTTCCTATAACCCAAACATTCATCAAAGTTGCTCAAAAAACAATTCTCTTCTGTCCAGCAAATGGTATCTGTGTCTTATAAAGACAGCTTTCATTGATGTAGCTTGATAATTATGCTTCTCTATGGATATAAGGAAAAATATTTAGAACATACTCAACTAATGTGTTAGCTTAGTAGTCGTTGATATAGATTCTTCTCTATAATCCATGACTTTACTAGCCCCAGATAGTTGACTAGGTTTCTAGTACAAGACATGATTTCCCCTCCAAGCAAACGGATTCAATCTGGCTTTTTTCATCATCTCCTGAATTGTACTGCTTGGCCTCAAACTAATCCAGCAGTCTGTTCTAATCTTCTGTCTCCTTTTCATTCTCTAGTTCATTCTATCTCCCCTGTATCTATGTTGTTCATGTGTGCTTCTTTCTACTAACTAACTTTACCTTCATTGTTTGGGATTAGAAGTCTGTGCTAAGGGTATAATTGTACTTCAGCCAGGGGATCTAAAGGTGTGTTAAGCATTAAACTACACTGCAACAAGAGAAGAAGCATTTTACTATAAGTAACACAATCTAGAGGTTCACAATATGATCAAATATTGTGAAACAGGTTGGTGATATGGTTCACAAGCATCAAAGTTAGATAGAACTGTTGTTTTCTTCCATTTTTGGAGGATTTCATGGCACTTTCTGGTAGTAAGAGAGCAGGTTGTCACATAGGAGTTTTAGCATAGTTCTAGCTCAGGGCCCTCCTAGTCCTGTTTCAGAAGTGTCTAGCATTTTTAGCAATAAGGGATTGGCTTCTCATTTAGAGGTCTTGTTTAAAAGCATAGAGCAGATTTCAGTGTTTCATATTGGTGACTTTCCAGGATCTTGATCCATCTAGGAGATAAACATCAAGGCATGCCTGTATAATATTAGGTTCCATAGATCACCTAAGGTCAAAGGCACACTGCGAATGTGGGTAGTGCTATCAACTGGGTCTTTGGGCTTAACAAAAAGGAGAAAGTAATCTGTACTTCAGCATTCATCTATGTCTTCTTCTTGACTTTGAATTTGATGGGACCAAGTCTTTGCCATCGTGCCTTCCTTACCTATAGATGCCATACCTTTCATTTCATGATGTATCCTTTCCCCAAGAACAGTAAGGTGGAATAAACTCTTTATCCTTTAAGTTATTTGTTGTCAGATGTTGACCACAGCAACAAGAAATTTAATACAAAGAAGCATGTGTAGCAGTGAATGTGCATGTACTACACCTCTGAAAAACACTGGAAATTCCAGCTCTGAGTATGAGTTATCTGTGGTAGTAGGTGCCCAGGTTGTCATCCATATAGCCAGGACTCAAGTTGAACTGAACTGTTTGAAATCTGTAAGTGAAGGCACTTTTTTAGTACATCATCTCTCTCTGGTCTTTAAAGCATTACTCCTTCAACAAAGTATCAAATTTTCAGCCCAGTGTGATGTTGGAGATTAGTTTGTTAATACAAGCAATGATAATAACATACTGACAAGGAGGAAAGCAAAATTAATACCAGCTCTTAGTCTCTCCATGGAACATTTGTAACTTATTGATTTTAACAGAAAGTGACTGCATAGTGGGGACAGTCATTAATATGTGGATGTGCTGCTTCTCAAATATTCCAGAAATTTAAAGAAGCAAACTGATATATAAGATAATGTCCAAATATTTGTACATTAAAATATCATGGCATTCAGAGCAGAGAAAGGAACACAAGTGACATCAATTGAATACAAGATAAATGTGGACTTCTCTCCCTCCATTACCATCAACATGATACATAGACTTCATCCTTTCTTATTTTAAAATGAGGTGTGTGTGATTGTGTGTGTGTGTGTGTGTGTGTGTGTGTCTATGAATGTATGCTTGTGCCCTTTAAATTGAGGTATAATGCAGACTTGGGCGGATTCCAGAGTGCAAATATAAGCATTTGGCCTTTTACCTAGCACTGTACATACTACTTCTTAGTGAATGTCTCCTTTAATTATTCATTAACTGTGGGAATTTTTTCTAGCAAGAGGAAAGCATCTATATAACCACAACCAATGACTCAATATTGAATATGCTTAAGCTACCTGATCGATGAGTGAATAGTGAATGATAGCAAATGTACAAGTGTTCTTAGAAGTTCAATTGGGTCTGGACATTTGTTTCCATAAACATACGACTACCATAAATAAATGTAGCTGAGAGCTGGAGATGTTTTGTTTATGTGCAGGTGTGTGAAGGTATATGCATGTGTACCTGTGCATGTGGAGGCTAGAGGTTACCATAAGCTCTCAGTCTCTATTATTATTTACCTTAAATTTTCAGAAAAAGTCTCTCTTCTGAACCTGGAACTCATTAATTTAATTAAATTGACTACCTGATCAGCAAGCATCAAGAACACATCTGTGTCTCTCTGCTTGCTCTTGTATTATAAATGCACATTGCCACACACATTTTTATTTGGATTCTGAGACTATGAACTCAGATCAGTAATCTTCTACAGCAAGTACCTGATCCAGTGAACACAAGATCTCTGGATGTCTTCCCTGGAAAATGCTGCTGTGGATTAGACTTCTGGTTTCCTGATCTACATTAAGATCAGTTACTTGGACCCTGGGTGGAAATTTAACATAGGCAGCTTCCCTGGATTGCATGCTCACCTGAACAGCACTGCCTGTTTTTACTAGTGATGCTGGTTTGGGGAGGAGGTTCAGAGAAATTGAGTCTTATACAAAAGCTACTGATCAGTGGCTTTGAGGACACCTATGCAGGTGCTATGAACTGTAGCTCTATTAGATGACATTAGCAGAGTGTCACTCATGAGGTGGAGGTAAGTTTTATATCCTAAAAGAACTAGGCAGTGCAAATGAAGACATAACAAGTTTGGATGTAGAGTTTGCTATCTAAACACCAAATGACTTTCACAAAAGAGCCCCTCTGGCCTCTTCAAACAATAGTCCAGTCATTCTATACTCCTCTTTAGAAATGGCCAATATGTGTGGCTGAACATATAAATTCATTCTTTAATTCACAGTAACTTCCTGATGTGCAAATTATTTTGTGAGTCTTGGATGGGCAGGGGTCTCTTTCTTATGCACTTATGCAATCTGCTCACCACTTTCTCTACTTTAGTCAAAACTGTTTCTTTTCATTGTGGTCTCAATGTACCCCAAGCTGATGTCAAACTCATTAAGTAGTTAAGGATAACTCTAAACTCCTATTTCTACTTTCTCAGGTCTGAGGTTACAGGTGTGAAATGCCATGCCTAGTTTATATGCTGGTGAAGATTTTTTTAGGGGCTTTCTGTATGTTAAGCAAGTCTTCAACCAACTGTGCTATATCCTGAACTAATATGACACTCTTAACACTTCTCATGGATCACCTTTCTCCTACATGTCCTACCTATGTAGCTGCATGTATTCTTACTAAATTTAAAATTCAGTAAGCATCACTTTAGTGTTTTTCTCTGTTCCTGTCTTCTGCTCCTTTAATTTACCATCCCTTCTAGCTCCTTCCATTTCTCTGAAGCTGAATGTGTAATGATTCTGAAATTAAGGTCAACGCTGGGTGGTTGTTTATTCAGACTATCATATTGCCATATAAAAATGACTTTTATCTGTTTGCTTTTTAATTCTTTTTTCAGGGCAATGTCACATTTTCTTGCTCAGAACGACAAATTGTCCCCATCACATTTGTCAACTCCAAGAGCAGTTATTTACTTTTGTCTGGCACTCCCCGAATTGATGGTCTGTCAGTGAGTTTCCAGTTTCGAACATGGAATGAGGATGGTCTGCTTCTGTCCACAGAGCTGTCTGAAGGCTCAGGGACACTGCTGCTCATCCTGGAGAGTGGAACTTTGAGGCTCCTGATTAAGAAATTAGCAGGACATGGAACTGAAATCATTACAGGTACTGACTCTGCTGACTTCATTTGCAGTCCTACTTTTCCTCTACTGCCCTCCACTCCCCTTCCATTTCCACTGCACTGTTTGCCTTACTGTCTTCTCCACATCCTCTTTTCTCCTCTTCTTCCCTGTCTGCTTCACTCTCCACTCCTCTTTTACTTTCCAATATGCATAATGGTTTCATTTTCATGTAACCCAACCAAGGTTGAGGTTCTGCTAAAATATGACAAATCATACACATGGATGAAGGGCTGCCCAGTCGTGGAAAATATACTAAAATATGATGGAGCTTGTCTTCTGGCACATGCAAGAATTAGACAAAGAAAAACAGTTAAGTCTAAATTATTCATTTGTACTTCAACACATCTCTCAATTGCTTCACTATAAGATAGTCAGAAAAGTTGATGTTGGATTTCCCATTAATGTGTATTTAGCACTTTCTACACCATCTGCTTATTTGCTCCTGTATAGAGATCTCTAACATTGTGTGTGTCATCTTTACCATGACCGACCCTGGAAAAAGGTGCTTTTCAAACTTTACACATTAGAAAATGAAGAGTTACAGAAATGTTTCCGGAATCACAAGTTCCAAAATGACAGAGCTGAGAATTTATTTAGAATTTGTCTGGCTTCCATGTCATATTTCTACAGTAACATAATTTTTTTTTTACAGACTACTATTTTAAAGTAATTGGTATGCTTTTACCATTGTATTTCTTAGATATATTTTAAAAGTACTGAATATATACCTCTATATGCAGGTTCAGAATACAATGAAACTTCTCTAAATGGTCCTAAGTTATCTTTATTCTGATAAACACTCTCTCTCTCTCTCTCTCTCTCTCTCTCTCTCTCTCTCTCTCTCTC